ACTGGTCGATTCGATCACTGTCAACTAAAAAAATCTTAAGGTTCACTTAAATTCTGAAGTGTTCCCATATGAAGACTTTCGCGCTGATTTTAAAAATAATACCACCAGCATACTCTACAAAGCTTATACAGACTTTCAAAAATCGTATTACGAAAGAGATTATTGTGAACCATAATTATCAAAACATATTTTTCAAAATTATGTTCCAATCATCGTTGTTGATTTGTCACACCAGAACGATAACGTTAAATCATCGACCGTGGACCTACGAATTGAATTTGAAACGGATACAATTATTCCAGAAAAAACTGCAGCTTATTGTTTAATACTACATGATCAGATTATAACTTATAATCCCTTTAGCGGAGATGTTAGAAAGTTGTAAACCTTATATTTAACTCTATTTTAGACCTTATAATTATTTTTATACCTTGTAAATATTTTATACCTTGTAATTAGTACCTTATTTTCTAATAAATGAGAAAACTTGGTTTTAAATATCACGCTTGTTTTTATTTTACACAAAATTATTTAAACAATATCATTCAAAAAAGAGTTTGCGTTTTGTGTTCCGTTTTTTCGTGGGCTTGCCGCTTAGAATAGATGGCGAGTGGTTGAAAGACGTCGGACCGTCGTTCTCATCAATTGCGGGGCTCGTTGGTAGAGGTTCGATGTATTTATCATGCCATGGAGGGTACTGCCCACAATTGTCTAAACAGTCAAACGATGGTGGACTGGTAGGCTAAACAAATAATAATTATTTGTCAATATATATGTATAAATTATATGACGTGTATATTATTTTCGGCTTGGTTGGTGCCCACGTTGCCTGCGTAGGATTCATTCTCGTAGATGCTGATAAAAATTCTCTGATACCCCTTTCTTCGTCAGCTCCCTATAAAAATTAAAATAATTAATACTTATGTTTATTTTAAATTTATAAATTATAAATTACCCTTGCTTGAGAGCAGTCTTCAGAGTCATAAAGCAATGGCGACATGGCTGAGTATCTTGGAGGCGAAATGAGTCTAACCTCGGATTCAGTGAACAACCATAAAATAATAATTATACATTAATTATTTTTACAAGCGAAATAAATTAAAGGTTTACCTCGGGTGACATTTCCCCGCTCCATCGTTGTGCCCATTTTTCAGCTAATTGACTTATTGCATTTATTATGAGTTTACTGATGAAATCCATGTCTTCTTTAGGAGTGGGTCCAATAATTTTATCGTCGTTTAAATTTTTGATAAAAATGATCATTTCTTCATTTGTTTTTGGAGGCGATTTCACATTGGTAAATTCCTGGTCTAAATAATTAGCAATAGTCTCAAACTCCTTTAAGACGACTGGTCGTATGATGGTTGACTTTCGAACGACTGTTTCAAAAATACACCACTCCAAATATTGCAACTTTATTAGGTCCGCGCGATTCAACAGTACTCGGCACCCGACTTGGGTTTTTGATTCGATGACAAGCATATTTTCCCCTTGATACACCATACTAAACAGCGAAATAATTTCGGTTTCCAGAAATAATCGCTTCTTATATTTTGGTGGATCCAAAATAAACGACAATATATTTCCCATCAGAGAGAATATACGTCTTAAAAAATCGGCTGGCATATTTACATACCGCGATGGTGTGATTATTTGGCCAACGATATTGAATTCGTCTGTAGGATCAAGTCCTACATTCAAAAACTTACGGGTGACGAAGTCAAGTGTAAAATTACTGCAGTCGATGAGGTCCGCAGGCGGTGTCAGAGGAACGTACGTATAATTCTTCTTTTTGTATAGGGCATCGTTGTTGGTGAAAGAATCAGCCATGTTTACTGCGGTTGAAGGCTGTAGACGTACTAAAAAACTGAGATCCCCAGAGCCAGAAAACCTAACCTTGTAATTATGATAGAAAAATGAAAACGAAAAGAAAAACACTTGTAAAAATATTAAAACACTGTAAATTTTTTAAAGTCGGCGCGAGGGAACGAGAACGATGAATGTGTCGGGTAGACTAAACCGTTTCAGCTATACTCGGTGATATATATAAGCAGAGGTACGCTAATGCTTCTTGTGACAGATACTTGTATTATTAGTGTATGAGAGGTGGCTATTAAGACATCCTGGCTATGACAATAAGTTGGCTATTAGGGTTAATGTATTTTTCATTAATTGGTATCTTCTATTCGATATTCTCTAGGTATAATGGTCATTTATTGATTATTTTATAATGTTTCCTTGTGTGTGTACAAATATTGAATACGAATAATATCTAATGGCAGGAAATATACGACGGAAGCATCATTGTGGTCTAATGTTAAGATGGGTGCAAACGTGAGAGGTGGCTATTAAGACATCCTGGCGATGATAATAATTAGGCTATTAGGGTTAATGTATTTTTCATTAATTGGTATCTTCTATTCGATATACTATAGGCATAATGATCATTTATTGATTGTTCGGCGAGCGTGCGAACGGATGTCTATTTTCTAATGACAATACACGCAGCTGCAAGCTATTATTAAATGTTTCTTTTGCAGTTTTATGTAAAGTAAGTAATACTTAAGAATCCGCGACATCCTGGCGACAGTCTGTAGACTGACTATTATTATACAGGCTGAATTGATAGCTAATGCTTCTTCTATTCGATATACTCTAGGTATAATGGTCATTTATTGATTGTTCGTCGAGCGTGCGAACGGATGTCTATTTCATCCTTTCATTAATTGACTCCTAATGACAATACGCAGCTGCAAGCTATTATTAAATGTTTCTTTTGCAGTTTTATGTATTTAACGTACCTGTTAAATAGGGCAAGTTATTAATATAAAGTGTATGTGACGGGGTGGTGCAGTGGTACGGTGAACGCTTGCCGAACCGACGGACTCGGGTTTGAATCCCGGACCGGAAAAAATTTTTAGATTATTTTCGGACGTAACATGTGATAAAATACGATAACGGAAATAATATGATAACTGTTGCATATTCAGCATTTACATTGTATACTAAACGTTTATATTAATAATAATAATCTTAAGTATCATATTACGATCGGTGGGGATTGTCCATCGGTCATTAGCAAGTAGACAATCTTATATGTACGTCAGATCGTTTTATACTTTTCACAATAAAAGACTATAATATACGTTTGTGTTATTATTCATATTAACAATACACAACAAATTGGCGACGAAGATAAACATTTTTAAACTCATCTCATATTAAATTAAAATATTTATAAAATGGGTGAGGATAACAAAAATATTACTCAATTCCATAATATAATAGGTTCACCAGGAACAATTGAATCTGGAAACGACATAACAATATTTGAATCAAGACTTACAAATTTTTTCATTGCAAACGGAATAAGTAACGAAGTCCAGAAGAGAGCTATACTACTATCTTCAATTAGTGAGGAAGTTCACAAAATATTATTCATTTTATGCGTTCCAGCCAAACCAGACGTTCAGACATACGACACACTATTAGGTTTGTTAAACAATTATTACAAGCCAGTGAAATCGTACTTCGCATCAAGATATGCATTCTACAACGCAAAGCAGAGACCAGACGAAACTGTAGCTGAATGGGGAGCACGAGTAAAGAACCTAGCATCAAAATGTAATTTTTCAACGGAATTACAAATTGTAATCCGTGACATTTTTGTTGTTGGTATGAACGCGGGACCAATTCAAGATCGATTACTAGAGGAAGATGCCTCAAAAATAAGCATCACATATTCGCACCTTATGGAAATTTCTGCTGCAAAAGAATCTACAATCAACAATAAAACCGGATGGATAAAGGAAGAAGCTGACTTCAAATATCAAAAACAAAGTCAGCAAGCAAAATCAGCCAAGCATTCAATCACGGAAAAATCAAAATGTGGAACATGCGGTCGATCAAACCACACACAAAAAGATTGCCGATACAAGGACTACAGTTGTAATATTTGCAATATCAAAGGTCATTTGGCTCCTATGTGTAAAAGTAAGAACAATAAACCAAAGTATGATAACCACTCACACAATAAATTTTTATCCGAAAATTCTGGTAATAACACGAATGAAAATATTCATGATGACGCAATCGCGTACAATTTATCTGACACTTTTTTTAATATGATTGAAAATAACTTTCAAAATAAAGTAAAACCGTACATTATCAATTTATTAATTGAAAATAAAGATTTAAAATTTGAAATAGATACGGGGGCTGTGCATAGTGTAATGTCAAAACAATTATATGATACAAGTTTTAATAATTTAACTTTATTACCAAACGATATTTCACTACGCGATTACGTCGGAAATGATATAAGCCCAATAGGAAAATTAATAGTAAATGCTAAATATTTGAAAAAGTCTTTTAAAATGTGCATTTACGTAATACAAAACGGAGGACCGCCATTAATTGGTAGAAATGATTTAAAAATAATAAACTATTCTCCCATTTATAACACTATAAATGTAAACGAAAATATAGAGAATATATTAAAAAATTTCTAGCATTTATTCAAAAATGAAATCGGTACCTTTAATAAATACCAAATATCGCTAAACATTAAAAAGGGGGCAATACCCAAGTTTTTCAAGCCAAAGTCAATTCCTTCAGCACTAAAATCTAAGGTAGAGTCGGAAATTGATCGTTTAATAGATAATAATATTTTAACTCCCGTGAACTACAGCGCATGGGCCACTCCAATTGTTCCAATTCTTAAGCCCGACGGTACAGTTAGAATTTGTGGAGATTTCAAAATTACAATCAACCCCGTATTGGAAGGAACTGAGTATCCCTTACCAAAAATAGAACATCTTTATGCGAATATAAGTGGCTCAAAATATTTTTCTAAAATAGATCTCAAAGATGCATATCAACAAATGGTAATTAAAGAGAGTGATCGCAAATACACTACAATAAATACTCACAAAGGCCTATTCAGTTATACTCGAAATCCGTTCGGAATAAAAAGCTCAGCTGGGGAATTCCAAAAAGCCATGGAAATATCAACCACAGGCTTAGAAGGGATTGGTATATTTCAAGACGACATAATAGTTGCGGGAAAAACGGTAGAAGAACACAATAATAGATTAAAAAAATTACTTAACGTTTTATCCGAAGTTGGTTTAAGGGTTAAACAAAACAAATGTAGTTTTCTCAAAAATTCAATTGAATATTTAGGTCATAAAATCGATGAGCATGGCTTGCACAAATTAACTAAACACATAAATGCAATACAATCTGCCCTGGTTCCAGAAAATAAAACTATGTTAAAATCATTTTTAGGTTTAGTAACATATTACATTAAATTTGTTCCAAGAGCAGCGGACATTCTTAAACCGTTATACTCATTACTAAGACAAGAAAAAAAATGAATATGGTCACCAGAATGTGATCAAGCATATAAGAACATAACAAAAATGCTTATCTCAAGTCCTGTGTTAGCACATTATGACCAAAAACTTCCCATAAAACTCACGGTCGATTCTTCGTCATACGCACTAGGTGCAATCATATCGCACACTTATCCTGACCACTCAGAAAGACCAATTGAATATGCATCACGAGTATTGTCAAACAGTGAATGCAAATTTCCACAAATCGAAAAAGAAGGTCTAACCATAATTTTTGGTGTTCAAAAATTTTACGATTATTTATACGGTAGAAAATTTACATTAGTTACTGATCACAAACCGTTAATCCACATTTTTGTAGAAAAAAAAGAAATACCAATTTATGCGGCAAATCGCTTACAACGTTGGGCATACGTTCTTTCTTCATTCGAATTTGAAATTAAGTATATTAAATCAGAAGGAAATACTGCTGATTTTTTATCACGCATTAAAACAAACCAATGCAACAATAATATTAATGAATATGACGACGCTCACATCAATTTTATTCACGAAAACACGAACAGTCACCATTTCCGCTAGATTGGCGCAAAATTAAAATTGAAACGAAAAGAGATCCAATTACCTCTAGAGTATTACACGCTACAAAAACAGGTTCATGGAGTAATGACTTTTCAATAAATTCCGAATTAAACTCGTATAATAAACGCAAAACAGAAATTACTGTTGAACAAGATTGTTTATTTTGGGGCTATAGAGTAATCATACCAACCAAATTCCGTAAGTCAATTCTAACTGAACTGCATTCTTGTCATATTGGCATGTCGAGTATGAAAAGCATCGCGCGTTCGTATTTCTGGTGGCCTAGTATAGATAAAGAAATTGAGGATATGGTCCGAAACTGCAATGAATGCATAAATGCGAGACCTAATCCTCCTAAGTCAGTACTAACTCCGTGGAAATGGCCACAAAGACAATGGACGAGAGTGCATTGCGATTTCTTAGGTCCGTACAAAAACAAAACATTCTTAATTATTGTCGATGCACCCACAAAGTGGCTAGAAGTTTTTCAAGTAAATTCGATGACAGCACAAACGGTCATAACAAGACTGTCTGAGTTAATTGCACGTTTTGGCATTCCCAGAACAATATTAACTGACAATGTTTTAATGGCGATGAATTCCAGTCATATTGTAAGACACTAGGTATCAGGCACTTGACAGGGGCACCTTTCCACACAGCCTCAAATGGATTTGCCGAATCTGGAGTAAAAATAGTTAAGCAATTTTTTAATAAATGTTCAACATCATTACACCATTTGAATAAATTTTTATTGATGTATAGAAATACTGTACACTCAACCACAAATGAAACGCCAGCAAAACTTATGTTTGGCCGCTCAACACGTACTATTTTTGATTTATTAATCCCAAACACAAATGAAGTAGTTTTTAATAACCAAATTATACAAATAAAAAATTCAGGAAAAAGAGATATTAATATAAAAGAGGGTGGTTTGGTATTAGTTAAGGATTATCGAAATAAAAATGAAAATTGGCAAAAAGGAAAAATAACAGAAAACATTAGTAAAAACACTCATAAAATCATACTAGACGAGGGTTCTGAATGGATAAGACACACTGATCAGATATGGCCACACAACCAAATAAATAACTCACTGTCACCTACACCAGCTAGACAAGCAAATGAAAATTCTAAAAATACTGAAACAGTAGGTGAAAATCAAAATCCCGATCCGGCCGATCCCGTAATAGTAAATAAAACACCCAGACCAATTAGATCTAGAAAACCGCCTCAGCGATATTCTCCAAGTGATTATGCTTAGGGCAATAATTGCAATAATTAACTATTAATTATATCAGTTATCATATTATATAATAAATACTCGTATATAAAAAAAAAAAAATAAATAAATAAATAAATACTAACATAGTAATTAAGCACTATACAAAATACTTTATATTTTTTTTAAAGGAAAGAGATGTTGCATATTCAGCATTTACATTGTATACTAAACGTTTAACAAACCTTTTGAACCTTAATAACATGTCTAGCAAACGAAAAACTAAAAGTCTTAGTGCTTTATCGCCTAGGTCTAGAGTAGCAAAATATATTATTGAAGATAACTTAGTATCTTCAAATTCTTCTGCTGTAGTAGTAACAAAAAATAATGATGTCCCCTATGTTATAGCTGCCAGTGATTTAAATATTAACAATAAAATTCTAGAACCTGAATCTGCTGAATTGAATTCATCAACATTGACTTTAAATAGTTCAAGTTTGAATGAACACAGCTGCAGTGATGATTCTTCACAATTTGAACTGAATAACAGTGATGATAATTCTTCGCATGATTTTTTTACCAGTTCTAGTGATGAGGAAAGTTATATTAAAGATTCTCCCCCATAGATTAAAGATGAAATTGCTTATTGGGCATTAGAATATAAGGCAAAACATAATGCTTTAGACGCATTACTTATTATTCTGAAAAAATATGTCGATCAAACTTTACCAAAATGTGCTAGGACATTGCTTGAAACCCCAAGGAATACCAAAGTAAGGATTGTTCATCCTGGAAGTTATTGCCATTTTGGAATTGCTTCTGGGTTGATAGAAGTATTACCATTAGAAGTTAATCAATTGGAGGAATTAAAAAATAAAACAATTCGCTTAAAAGTTTCAACTGATGGTTTGTCATTATCAAGCAGTAGTAATAGTCAGTTATGGCCAATCATGGGATGTATTGCAGAAAGTTCAAGAGTGTTCATAATTGGGGTTTATCATGGTCATTCTAAACCAAATGATTCTAATGATTTTCTACATGATTTTGTTGTAGAAATTACTGAATTAATAGATAATGGTTTTACGTTTAATGATACATTGTATAACGTTATATTACACTGCATTATTTGCGATGCGCCGGCCAAAAGCTTTATCACAAAAACCAAAGCTCATACTGGGTACAACAGCTGCACTAAATGTTGCCAAAATGGGGAATACTTAATTGGTCGTATATGCTTCGTATTTTGCTAGACGTCCTCAAGGAGTTGAATTTTTAAAGAGATGGAAAGCAACTGAGTTACGAGAGCTACTATTATATACTGCACCTGTTGTGTTGTACAATGTCTTGCATCTCCAAGTTTACTCTCATATATTAACCCTTCATGTTGCATTAAGAATTATTAGTAGTCAACATTTACTTGATGTTTATGCAGATTATGCCCATGAACTTTTAGAACATTTTGTAGACACTTTCAAAGTTTTGTATGGGAAACAATACGTATCCCATAATATCCATTGTTTATTGCATATAGTAAATGACGTTAAATTACTGGGGCCTGTTGATAGTTACAGTGCTTTTCAGTTTGAAAACTGCCTTAGAATCTTAAAAATGCAGCTAAGAAAATCAGAACGGCCTATACAACAAATTCATAGAAGATATAGTGAGAAATCTATTGTGAAACTATCTACACTCAAAGAACAAGATATATTTTCTGAAAATCATGTTGATGGATCAATAAGTAGCTCATCTGACATAAATAGGCAGTTTAAAAAAGCAAAAATTAATAATTGCATTATTTCCGTAAAAAGTCCTGATAATGTTTGTATGATTAATAACACTATTGTAGAAGTTCATAATTATGTATTTGATAATTATCTCAAAACCATGGTGATTTTAGGAAAACCTTATTTAAATAAAGTGAATTTGTATGAAGTGCCTTGTCAGTCCTCTTTATTAAACTGTTACATTGTAACATGTCTAGCTCAAAATATTTCAGTTTGGCCTATATCTGATGTGCAATATAAGTGTATGACTTTACCATGGAATTATAATGGCAATAATGGTTTTGCAGTGTTTCCCATTTTACACAGTGATTGTACACAATAAAATAATTATTGAAAGAAAAAAATGTATATATAACATCATAATATTATTACAACAGGTATTAACCTAGTATAATTGTAAATAGTTGCACATATAAATGTATAAATAATAAAATAATAATAATACAAAGGTATAATATTACACATATCATGTAGTTATTGAATTTTATTTATTTTTGTTGCATATAAAATGTTTAGATTGCCTTACTTTTAATAATGGATAACATAACTCATCAATGGAGTGTTGTTGAATATGATGATGAGACCATTCAAATTGTTCCCAAGTGTTGGGTAACCATTGATGATGATGGAAATATGGCTTGTTACTGGCCACCATATAATTTTTTTCAAGCAACAGGCATTACATCTCGGCAGTCAAAAAAAATATGGTAGCTAAACCAGAATGGCTTAAATATGGGGCAACAATTTTAGGAACTTATGGTATATTAATTAGAACTATATATATATATGTATACTTTGTTTTACATGTATGAATTTGTTTAATACAATTTAATAAAATCAAAATTAGATAATTTTGACAAAGGCATGAAGAAACTGAAGAAAGCAGAAGACCGTGATGTACCACTAACAACTGATATCGAAAAAGATAAAGTGAACAGAAAACTACGCCACAAAAGAGCTTATACTTCATCTGATGAAAAATGTACATCAATCATAAAAAAAATTAAACCTATACCTAAACCAACGGATCAGCAAATGTACATACAAGCATCATCTTCAACGTTAAAATCGGATAAATCTCAATTTTTGGGTAAATTCTTATAATAGTAGTAAAAATATGCAATTCTTACAGTAATAACCTAATCTTATTGTAATTTTAACAAACATATTATAATATATTATTATACCTATGTCTTTACTATTCACAGTAGATGAAGATGAGACTCGGGCACTAAAATGTACTGATTCTTCTGTCGATTCAAATCATTCTAACAATAGTTCTGTAAAGAAAAAATTAAAAGTAAAATCAAAACTATTTACTGATGAATCGGCTGGCAATATTAAAAAACCAAGAAAGATTTATGATGTGCACTCTTCAGACGAAGAAGGTATTTACTTTAAAAAAAAGAAATATCAGTATTTTTTTATACCTATAGAGTACATTTAATATATTTAAAACCCTAAATTATTTTGTTTGATCGGTAATATTTTAGATGTATCGACACTTTATCATAATAAAGCTACAACTTCTGAAATTCAAAAGCCTAAAGAAAAAACCTTGTATAGTCAACATATCAAAAAGCAATTGGTCAATTCTTACCATCAACCTGCAGAGTCAGCTGAGTCAATTGGTTTTAAAGGTTCCCCAATTAATCATTCAAAATATCAACACATAAATGATCAGAACAACTATTCCGAAATAATATCTAATAGAGGTACCTATGTGTTTTCTTCTGTATTTAATATTAAATTAATTTATGCAGAAACAATTATAGTATAATAGAGAATATTAATTAGAACTTAATATTTAATTAAAGCAAATAAAAAAATGTAACATTTGTCATATTATAATTTAATAATTTAATCTTTATCATATTATTTTATAATTTGTAACAGAATTTCAAGAAAAAGTATTGAAGAATTTAGCTTTTATTAAACTAACTCTAAAACGTCTAGATGAAAAAATTAGCAGTGTCTGTTCATCACAGCCTGCAGATGATATTGATGATGAAGGAATTGAAGACATTTTTAACGATTTTTACGAATTAACGATTAAGAAATACATTTAATTAGTTTGGAAGAAAAGCTAAAAAAAGACATGAATTACAAAAAAAAATTGGTAAATATGTTAATTACTATGATAAATGTGTGTTTATAAATAATTAAGTTGTAGGTAGTACCTACAATAAGTTCTAACTATTATACTAATATATGATATTACAATTTTAAAGTGAAAAAAAGTATTTAAATAAACGAAAACTGACAAGTAATTTATTGTATTTCAAATACTTATTGAATTAATATCTTATATTTGTTTGTGTTTAAATACAATTTTTAAAGTATTTTTTACAAGACTGGTATTTTGTTCTAGTTCAATGCGGTTTGTAAAATAGGAGGTATTAAAACTGACGATGTAACAAAATTAATATTAAGAATATAACTGCATCATATAACTGGACTGGAGCCAAAGGAAAAAAACCATTGTCAAGTTTATTGTTGTCCAAGATAATTATTGGTACGATATAGTTCTACTGATGCTTAATTGTTTTTATGGTTCATATTGTTTAATACAATCATTCAATTATTTTTATACAGATGCTGTATTCAAAAACGTCAAAGATTCAAAAGAGTCTGATGTTATTCATTCTATTAAGAACTGGATGAGACATGCTGAAGCTAGATACAAAAACAAGTATAAACATCAGATATGATGAATATTTTCAGAGTAATTTCTTAAATATTTTATAATTATTTCAGATTACTCAAACAAAAAGATGATGCAGCAAATGATTTAGGGATTTAGTAGATAAATAATCATACACTTTTATAATTTTTAATTATTTATCTTGTATACCTAGATATTTTATAAAAAATTGTTTTTTAAGTAATTTAAGACAATGTAATAGTAAACAAAACTAAATTTTTTTTTGTTTGTATAGTACCTAAAAAAAAATCAAGATAATTATTAAATATAAGGCACTAAAATATTTAAATAATGAATTTTGGTTATACAGTGAAACCTGACTTAACGGACACTTCTCTTAACGGACAAAATGACCAGGTCCCGGCAAAAAGATAGGCATTCTTATGTATTTTGACCTGTCTATAACGGACTCCTTCTATTACGGACACGGACACTAATATTTAATCCAAAAATTTCATAACGGACAAAAATACATACATACATACACACACACACACAGTTGAGGTAATGCACCTATATATTATATCGATCAGGGGCGCCATTTGGGGGGGGGAGGGTGTGCACTCGCACACCCTGTAATTTTGGGGTCCACAATTGACCTAGGCCTCATTAATACTATGGCTTTCAGTTTGCTTATCTTTAATTGAGCATGCACCGCAGCTATTCACTGATAATCATAAATTATTTTATAATATTATTGTGTTCTTCAATTTGATAATTGATAAATTGATATCGGTATCACTTTATCCACTGGCACACACAAATCAAATATGTGTAATTGGTAAATGGTTACTGATAAACAACAGACATAATAAAACGCATCTATTCTATCTAGAAATATCTTTACTAAAGTAATGATTTTTTCAATCCAAAGTGTTCCTATCTTCATTCATTTATAAACCACTATAATTATTTTGAAATAAATATATCCAAAATGTTAACAGAATTTCCATCTGCCAAATCATTGCTTCAAAGCAATACAATTATTCAAGTAAATTTTGATTCTATTGTATCGTCTTTATCACAACTTCCAGCCGCCTTTTCTAAAACTTTAAAAATTAATTTCTATACTAAAGATTCTTCCAATTACCTACTACTGCTTCAAATGAACGATTCTTTTCATCCCTTAAAAATGTTAAAACTTTCTTACGTTCTACAATGGGAGATAACAGACTGAGTGATCTCATGGTTTTAAATTTAGTGAAAGAAGAAGCTAAGTGCGTAGATTTATATAAAGCTGTAGATGCATTTTCAAATATGAAGCAACGGAGATACCCACCTTAAATAATAATCTATGCTTGTTATGCCTTTATAATTATTATTACCTATGTTATTATTTTATATAAATTATATTATTAATGTAAACTATATTAATAACTATATTAATGTAAGCCATGTAGTAAACTTTATAGTGCATCAAAGACGTCGTTGACAAATTTAAAGAGACACATCGAGGTTCCTATGTTCAAATAATATTTTAAATTTTATATAAAGCTAATTAACAACACGTTTAAGTACCTAGATATTAGGTACCTACTGAAAGTATACTTCTTTATAATTATTAATTTTAATTATCTGTTTTTAATTTATATTATTTCCTTAGAAAATACACAAATACAAATTCAAGACCTTTTTAGTTGATATTGAGGAAGCAAAAATAAAGAACAGTGATCTAAGTGATAATTCTAAATCTAAAAAGCGCAGTAATGATGATTTTTCTACTTCTCAGCCTCAGTTGAAGCAAGTACACATCGACCGTTATGGATCTGGTAAGCAGGCACCAATTACACAAAAATTATAAACAATGCTATAGTTAAATTTGTTGTTGACGAAATTCTACCTTTACAAATAGTTGATAAACCATCCTTTATAGAATTGGTACGCATTGGATTACCAAAAGATATAAAAATAATGTGTAAAAAAACTCTATCTGTTAAAAATTAAAATTGAACAGTCGGTTTTGGATATGAAAAATGACCTAATAGAAAAATTAAGCAATTTGTCATATGTTGCGACTACAGCTGATGCCTGGTCTAATGGTAAAAGAAGTTATCTTCGTATAACTGTGCATTGGATTAATCCAAAAACTTTGTCTCGTTGTAATGGAGCACTTGCATGTACCCGATTAAAAGGGCCTCATACTTATGATGTGCTAGCCCAGTTATTATTCAACACATATGTGTCTTTTAAAATACAAAATCAAGTTATGAGGACAACTACCGATAATGGTCGCAATTTTGTGAAAGCTTTCACTGTTTTTGGAGTTGATCATGATGTAAACAACACAGCTGTATGTAACGATGAAGCAGATGATGTACAGTTTATTGAATTATTTGACATATTATCTACTTCAAATACATACATGAATGATGATGACTATAACAATATACATCTGCCCCCACATTTTCGTTGTGCAAGTCATAGATTTAGTGGTCAGCAAAGATATTGAAACCTACTTTAACGATACAAAACATACTAACAAATTAGATAAACATTTTATTCAATTAAAAAAACTGCACAGGAAAGTATTAGCTAAGTGTCAAAAGGTATGGAATAAACAAAACCAATCTACTGGAGTAGCAGAATTTATAAAAGAACAACTCAATTTTTATTTGAAAACGCCAGTAGAAACCAGATGGAACGCAAAATTTGATGCTTTACACCAAATTAATAATATTTAAAAAAATTCTCAAGGATTAAAAAAAATAAATAAAATAATGGATCAATGTGAACTTGGCCGATTGGATTCTGATGAAGTACAACTAATCAATGAATATTGTGAAGTTATGGAACCAATTGCTTCAACATTAGATTTTCTTCAAAGTGAAAAGGGAATGTACATGTTATTTTTTTACCAACCATACATGCGTTGGATAAGAAACTTGATCAGCTGGGAAAGAAAAAATTCATTGTTGTAACACCATTGCTTAAAGCTCTTCATAAATGTTTTAAAAAAAGCTTTGAATTTTAATACATTTTATAATTATACCTACCAATAATCATTTGGCCAATTCCACATCTACTGATCAACTACAGTTATACTTAAACAGTAACGATAAAGAACTGCAATGTTTAAGTAATTGGCCTATGGTTAAGGAGAAATTTATAGAGTATAACTGTGGAATGCCATCAAGTGCACCGGTTGAGAGATTATTCAGTACAGGAGGAAACACAATGACTGTTAAAAGACATAGACTTTCAGATAAAACTTTTGAAAATCTTGTTTTACTGAAACAAAATAATAAAATAATGACCTGAGGGCTATAACTGAAATTAAATATGACATAAATACATAATATGTACATTTATTCTGTATTTGAATTTTAAAATAAAGTGTTTTCCGTATGTTATTTTCATTTTATGAAGGTCCAGTTGTACCAGTCTAGTTAAAACTAAGTTTCAATTAAATTTTTCTTAAACTTAGTTTAAGATCAAATCATATATTGTATAAGACTAGATTAATGCTTAAGTAAACGTTTAAATAGTATTATAATTTAATAATTTATAAAATTCTCTTAACTTTTTACATGTTATAATTCTATTGCACATATACACATATAAATTGCAATTTCTATTTTTTAAACACATTTTCTTTAGTACCTTACTCTTTATAATTCTTGATAATAATATGAAATAGTTCATTTTAAAAACTATGAACTAGAATTTGAACTAGTTCATATTTAATGTCTTGAACTTGAACTTGAACTAGTTCATTTTTAAAAAGAACTTTCCCATCACTGCTAAAATCTTCATTTAAATCATTAGTTTCTATATTTTCTGAACTTTTTGTTATATTTGACAGTATCTGTTCTTCACCTAAAATATTATAAAATTACAAATACAATTTTAAGTATATAAAATAATTATTAAACATAACATTTAAAATAATTCAATGATGATAAAATATAAACATTATTGTAAAATTTGTAATACATTTACAAATGTGTGACGTATTATTTTTATATTTTATTTATTGTTAAGAGTGAATTTTTAAAAATTCTTGCAGTTATTTTTAATGTTTTATTTATTGCTCATAATTATTTAGTATTTAATTTAATTCATTTATCTGTAACTTGATGATATACAGATGCCAAAAATAGTAGTACAATTTTTTTTTCCATTCTTATAACTAATTTTACTAAACTTATGAATGACGTTTAGTTTTATTTATTTATAATAGACCTACCTATATTGAGTAATAATCTTTAATTTTTATGTTAATTATTTTTATCCATAACATAAAAAAAGTCTAATGTATTATTTGGTTCAGTTTGTTCATTTCTTAAAATATTGACATTTGAATCACTAAAATCTTCATTAAAATTTTTTTTGATATACTCTTTATAACTTTTTGTTGCATTTGACTGTTTTTGTTCTACTCCTGAAATATTCAACATTATTTCTTTGTTCTTACTGATAATATTAACAAAAAAAATTATGATTTTTAATTGCCACACAAATTACCTGAATTGATTACAAATTCGTTCATTAAGCCTCTGTATTTCTTCAATTCTTTGTTTTGTAATTCTTTTCTTCTTCTATTAGAAGCACCGCTTTCAAAATGCCTCGACGACATTTAAAAATTAAAATAATTTAATTAAGAACAAACTAAATCTATACTACCGTCTATACTACCGTCACTTTTCATACTCTATAAAATAGAGTATGAAAATAGAAAACAATTAACAAACGTTAACACTTAACGAAAAAACATAAATCAATTTTATTACACAAAATGTTAACAAACAAATAACTTCTGTAATTATAAATTACTCACCACCAACAGTTTTTTCACTATTTTTTTTTTTATTATTCAAAATAATAAATATTATTAAGTTTTTTTAGGTATAAGTTGCACATCTATACTAACACACCCACCCACCTACCCGAATTTTCCCTGAAGCAATTTCCTCAAGTAAACTCAGCCTCTGCTGGTTACTGATCCCTTGTATACGGTCTTATCACGTATAAACGATAATAAATGCCGGTAAACTGTTTCTGAAAACATATTGTGGTTATTGGTTAATCGTTAATGTTAAGGTGGATTCACACCTCGTCGTGCCGTGTATTGTCGTGTCATCTCGTACTATACTGTGTCGTATATTTTCCTGTATACATGACGTAACCAATATGTTTATTTATCAATTTGATATTCCGCGGACTTTTTTAATTTACTATGCAGATTGAAGAATATTGAAACTGAATTCTGATATTTACGATAAAAATAACGATACAACCACAGAATCAGTTACTACACTTTTACTTTTTTGTTATAACTTCATTAAACTTTTTAACTAGTCTATAATTAGCAATATGGACCAACAGTTGTACAATAGAGCAGTTTATAAGTACAACTGCGAAGTTCAAAGGAGAAAAGTTTGTGTTATTTCATGTTTATTGTTTTCACTTGAAGATGTTTTATCAAATGTTAATAGAAGGTAAATATTTATTTACTAAACTATAATAATATATTTATTGTACTGCACTACTGTGTTATAATTATTATAAAAAGAGATACAAGTATCAATGGGTTTTTATTTACTGTAGTTAAATGATTTAAAATATTTATAATGTGATTATATTTATCTGATAATTAATAAATAGTATACAATTATATTATATATGAATGTAGGTACCTACAGATAATGTATGTAAGTTTGAGCCAAATGGCCTAGTTATTAATATAGTTTTCTAGCATGTGTAATGTGTGAATTGTTTATAATCTAGATGGAGGATACGTCCATTACTTTGTGAACGTTTAGTCCATAGTCATTATGCTACAATGTTAAGTGAGCATCAACTTTCGAATTCAGACCTCTTTTTTAATTTCACAAGAATTTCGTCATCAACTTTTGAAGAACTTTTAATGCTGATAGGCCCAAGTCTTGAACGGAAGGTTACTAGAATTGATGTACTAAATGTAGGAGAAATTTTAGCAATGACACTGAGGTTAGTATTACATAAATTTAACTTAATAAAACATTGATATCTATGTATTTATTTATTTTAATAAAAAAAAGATATCTAGCTACATGGGAAAGCATGACGAGAATTATGTATGATTTTCGCGTGGGGAAATCAACAGTCTCTAAAATTATATTGGAATGTTGTAACATTTTGTGGGATGTATTGAAAGATGATGTAAGTGAAACATATTATTAGTAGTATAGGTTATAGTTTACAAATTTATTTACATAATGGTTAAATTTTCTCTACATATAATCATTGTTAATCAATAAAAAAATACTAGAAGTTTTTGGAGGTATCAAAATAACTATCTTGAAAAGCAAATTTCTATTGATGCATATGTTTCCAGGTATTGTTCACTCCTAATGAAGATGGGTGGGTTAAAATTGCTGATGAGTTTCAAAGTAAATGGCAAATGCCTCATTATGTAGGAGCTCTTGATGGGAAACATGTTGTCCACCAAGTATGAAATTCATAAATATAAATACAAAAGTGTCTTCAATTTGTTTATCTTATAGGCTTTTCTGAAGAGTGGTTCAGTTAACTACAACTATAAAGGGAGTCACAGCACAATTCTTATGGCAATGTGTTATGCAAATTACAATTTTACTTGTGTAAATATAGGAATGCCTGGCAGGTGTAGTGACAGAGTCGTTTTTAAAGCTTGTGAAATGGGGAAAAAAATTATTGACAATGATCTATTATTTCCAAAACCTACAGCAATAAGCACCAACTCTGGAGACTTTCCTTTTTATATTGTAGCTGATGAAGCATTCCCACTACTTCCCTCATTAATGAGACCTTACCCAGGGCGAGGAACATCAAAATTACCTCTGAAATTGGCAATTTTTAATTATAGGTAAAAGACCTATTTTACTTTCTCAGCACCTATTCTTACTATAGATTTTCATATTTTAGGTTCAGCCGAGCAAGGCGTTGTATTGAAAACTGTTTTGGTATTCTTGTGGCAAGATGGAGAATTTTTAGTAAAGTGATCATTGCTAGTGAAGCAACTGCAAATGGTATAATTAAAGCTACTGTGGTTCTTCACAACTTTATAAAAATGAAAGAAACTGCAATAGGTAATATAATATTATGTATTTAAAGCTAAGAATTTAAAATATAATACAAGATTGTCCATAATTGTTTTTCCATAATCCATTGTTTTGCTTACAATAATTATAAAAGAAACCAAGCGTAAGCCAATTAAAATGTCGTTATTGTTTGTAAAATTATGTATTACAGGTTTACACAATTATGTTACAACTGCAATTAATGGAGAGGGTCAATCCCGAAATCAAAGAATGTCAGACACATATAGTGGTTTACATCCAGTCGGTCAAATGTCGTCCAATCATTATAATATCATTGCTAAAAACACACGCATTAAATTAACGGGGTATTTTGCAGGGGAAGGTTCTGTGCCCTTTCAATATTTAATTTGCTAATATCTTTATGTGTATCAATAGTAGAATAATTAGTTGATAATAGCAGTTATATATTATGTAACATAACAAAATGAAAACTTAATAAAACAAAACGTAATTTCACTGACAAATGTAAACTTACATATTACACAGTTTACAAATAAATATCACTTTTAATTAAACATAATATTATTCATTTATGTTGAAGACAACTTTGTGAATATAATAAATTATTCATTAAATAACAATTCTTAATATAAATCTAAGAAAATAACAATAAAAAAATACATATCTTTATGTGTAGCAAAAGTAGAATTATTACCTAGTTAATAATAATAGTTGTATATTATGTAACATAACAAAATGAAAACTTAATAAAACAAAACGTAATTTCACTGACAATAGTATATTTACACATATATTGTACAGTTTACAAATAAATATCACTTTTAATTAAACATAACATTATTCATTTATGTTGAAGACAACTTTGTGAATATAATAAATTATTCATTAAATAACAAGTCTTAATATTAATCTAAGAAAATAACAATAAAAAAAAACATATCTTTATGTGTAGCAAAAGTAGAATTATTAGTTAATAATAATAGTTGGATATCATGTAACATAACAAAATGTAAACTTAATAAAACATAATTAATGTAACTGTCAATAGTATACTCGAATATTGTACAAAATGTGTTAACAAAACCATGTTAATCTTCTAATTCTTTTGCAACCAGAGCAATAATTTTAGCTTGCAAAATTATTTGGCGTTGTCTAGGAACATCTTTTAGTATGCTAGCCAAGTAGACACTAAATTTTTCTTCTTCACTTATTGGTGATTGTTGGACTATATTTTCTTTGGGAGGAATCGGTCTGCTTTGTTTTAGTTCCTCTATTAACGAGCCTATATGAGTTTCTACCAAAGATCCTGTTTAAATACAATTTTGAATAATTAGTATAAGACAGAATACTAGTAAATTATAACAATTATTTTCTTACTTTTAGAGGATTTTGGGGCGCAATGTTCATCTAATTCAGACCTAATGCTATCTATAGAGCTATTATACAATTTTTTAATATTATAATTAATAAAATAAACGTGCTTTGTATTGAATTAACATTTACCGTTTTTGAACAGTTAAAACATCATCCAGAAATTTTAAATTTTTAAAATGAACCCATTATTTTTTCTTCCCTCCTTCACAACCACTTACACCTAGTCTTTTTCCCCTTGTGTATTTTTCACGGATATATTTCCAACTTTTTTCAAGTTAAGTATAGATAACTTCCCTACACCAAAAACAGAAAAAGCTGATGAATAAACATACATTTACAACTTGTCAGTCTTCTTAAGAATACTTTTCAAATGTATTCAGAATACGTATTTAAATACTTCGTGTAATTTGTATTTAAAATACGTATTCAAATACTTTCTATTAAAAGTATTTAAATATAAACACAAATACCTTTTAAAAGTATTCAAAATACTTAAAAAATACTTTATTTTAAAATCAATAAATGAATAATTAATAATCAATAATTCAATCAATTCAATGACTAGTCGACTATAACCACTACTATCCATGTCATGAAGTACTATTATTGAATATTTTCTTTAATCAAGCCAACCAAACCCTCTTATGTATAACTCCATCTATTATGCTAATTGTAAAAATATTTTATACAGATTTTAGTATTTTACATATTAAAATAAATGTGACAAATAAAAAAGTTCAATAACATTAATACCAATATCTTATATTCAAATTATAAACTACTACCACAGTACCATCCATTAAATAAAAAGGAAGACTATTTAAAGATTCAAGAGAAATGCCAATCCAACCAGTGGTGGTCAGTGTCTTGTATGCCATGGTATAATATGTTAGTGAGAAGCCGATGGGGTTTCAGTGTTCAGTAGCTTGTATTTTGGCGAAACCTTATTTACAAATGATCACGATTTAAAAATAAGCAGTACTAGAAAACAAAAATGTAGTTATACAGCGGGGCCGACGAGGCATCACTGTACATAGAAATAAGGTAAAAAAATATTATAATGACGCGCAATTCAATTAAGAAAAATAATATAATAAATGTATATTGATATTTAAGTTCGAATAATTATATTTAATTTTAGAAATAGAAACTGGACATTCATTTTGAAACTATAAAAAGCAATAATAAATGGAAACCATGAAATAACCAATATAGATATAAGACAATTTCCAAAATGTTTCATAGAGCACATAATTAAGGCAAATAATGAACTTTCTGACCACCTTTTCGAACAAATACAATACAAATATAAAAATAATATAAAACGTACAAAACAAAAAAAAAAAAAAAAAAATACGTATAATATACTGGTAAATAAATAATTAATAATAAATAAACACATAAAATAAATCATAATATAAAAACGTACAAAACAAAATAATACGTAGTATATCAATAAAATAAATAATAAATACAAAATATTTAAAACATACACGTAGAAATAAAATATAAAAATGAATGAAAACGTACAACATTTACCTTGCACAGTTCAACTGACACTAAACACTGGAATTCTTTCGGAAACTTTAAACGAAATTAACAACAGCAAACCACACACAAATTTAATATGAGGGAACAGTGACATTACACTGTTTCAGAAAGCACCTAAGGAGTGCAAATGTAAACATGACACACCCCTTTCGTGTCTTAGAACGAGTTATGGTCCATGTGAATGATTTTGTACGCGCGGTAGTTGAACGACCGGACCACAACAGACCTATCTGTGTAGAATTAGGTTTATTGTTAGAACGACTAACAACAAGAGGCGTGGCGATCGAACAGATAAACGAAGAATAGTTCCAAGAAATAAAAACTTACATATATAATAATATTAATAATATAATAACCCTTAGGAAATAAATTTTATTTTAGCTCACAGATCCATTTTTCATAATAGATTTCGAATTCTTTACGGCCAGTAAAGACGAAACATTATTGGTATCCTGGGCGATTTCGAATAGTTTTGAAAAATACCAGCCCAAGAAATTGGAAGGAGGTCCTCTTATACTTACGAAAATAAGTTAAAGAGATTCCGGCGATGCGACCTTAAGAATATCGTGCAAAAAATCAAACGGGTATTCCGAGGGGAAAAGGCAAGCATGATTGCACCACTGTTGGACAAGTTATACAAAAAGTGTAAGCCACCAGGGAGAATCAACCTTGTCGACGGTTTACTTGCAAAGATATTTGCACATAGACAATAGGGATCCAATAATTGAATTTTGGAATGGAACTACGGATATAACAATAATCAAACGATTAAGATTAAAGGGTATTTTAGCATTCTTAAATATATCAGCATATAGTGTTAATAATAATGATGAATTTAATTTAGAACTAACAAATTTAGAAAGTAAAGACGTTATATATACAGGGTATTTAGGAAAATTAAATAAAAACGGCAGAATGTCAGGATTATTAGAAGCGCATGGATTAACATGCGATACTAATCATAATATTACGCATTGCCATGATCCAATTAATCTTAACAAAATGTCTATTCAATTATGTAGTTTCAAAAATAAGACCCATATATTAGCGAGGAATGTAAATATACATAATTTATAGTAAATTTTAAGTAAACAAAAAATTATGGTTGCATATGTGTGTAACAATTTTAACAATTATTCATATAGATTTAGTATAATAATTAATTGGTGGAAGATAATAATTATTATTGTAATCAAGGGAATATATTTACATTATATACTTACACTTATAATATTGTAATTTCAGGTACAAATATTATTTTATTGTTATGAAAGGATTATTACTCATTCTTACTAACACTAGTCACTTAATAATTTATGTATTAAATTTATTTTTACTAATCAAGATATATAACTTATAATATGAAAAATTTGGGCAAGTGGGTGTCGCTCTGTTGTACAATCCCACATAGCATTTGTCAATCATAACGATTGTATAATTGTTTAATTTTGATTGGAATTTAAATATTTAAAATTAAAAATTTAGCCAACATTGAATAGTTATTTAATTTTAGATTCCGAGCGGAGCTTTTTATATGTTTTAATTGAAAAATTGTTTAACAATTATTCAATTTTAAAGAAAAAATATTTAAATGTTAATACAAATTTTAAATTGTATAAGTCTTAATTTTTAACATTTATTCAACTTATTAAGGTTAATAATTATTTAAGTTTGAAAATCAAACATTAACTTGATCTTTATATTAATGGTTTAATTTTAATTATGTGCTCATTGAAAATTAAATGTATAATATTCAATTTAAATATAATATATATTTTTACATTATGTATTTAAGCGTAGGTATATAACTATAATCTAAATATATATTTTTCCAAAGAGTCCGCTGTTTCCGTAGCTATATAAATAATTTATAGAATAATAATTAGATTATACTATTATAGTAAAAGATTAAGAAATGTATAAATAATATCTGCTATAATAGTTTTTAGACACGCGTTTAAATATTTTCACGCAATGTTTTTAAAATTAATAGTGCATTTTGCATTATGTATACATATCATATAGCCATAATCTATCTATCATAGATTAAAAAATACACGGTATATAGGTATATAATATTATATACGCTCGATGAACCACGCCGTGGATAGATAATAATAAAGTAATTATTAAGTAATTGTTTAAAAGTAGAAATGTAAAATTATCATAGATGACTACAACTATGGTGTTTTGTATAAATATTATAAATTATAATATAAAATATCAGTGTAAACTGTAGAGTGTTATTTTTATAAATACGAAAGGTAATTATTTTATACGTCGTACTGTCGTTGTGACTTGTGACCGTGTCGTACCTACCTATACATATCAGTATATTATCACGATTAACTAACAATTAATACTAGTAAGTAGTAGTAGTATAGTATTATAATAATAAGTGTATAATAGGTATATAATCATATTCCTTATACAGTAGGGGTTAGGTACTGTCAAGCGTGTGAGAACAC